TGACCCCCACCCCCAGCACTCTGCTCCCTGCTCTTTTCCAGATTCTATGTGTTTTTCTGCTCCGTATGCAACCAGGGACCTGAATACATCAAGCGCCTGCCCCTGAGATGGTAAGAGACGACCCTGGCCCCTTTGGGACATGCTGGGGTGGCTGCAGGGCACCAGCCTGGGCAGTGCCCGGTGCCTGGACCAACCCTTGCCTTGGGGCCAGCCCCAGAGCTGGGTTTCAGCACTGTGAGCTCACAGAGCATCTCCTGCTGATCCCAGCCCAGCTCTGAGCTATGGGCTCTGCTCAGCCAGGGGTCCTGGGTGTGCAGCTCCTCTTGCCTGGCCCTGTGGGGCTGTTTCCCAGGGAAGCTGCTTCTCTGTGTGCCCCAAACCTGCTGTTTACCCAGGAGCCAGGGTAGATGTTTACCAGAAGATAGCTGCAAAAAGTGATGGAGTGGCAAGTCATCAAATTCTGCAGTTAAATGCAAGTTTACAAGTGGTACATTCTAGCTGCAAAAGCACTTTATAAATTATATTAACAGTGCCAGCAGCAGCCCAGCTTTTCCCTGCTGTTCCCCTTATGCTCAGCCGAGTCAGACGTGTTACTGGTGCTCACAGGCTGCTGGGACACAGCTGGAAGAAGAATAAGGGAAATCCTGCAGGATATGTTGCTTGGCTTTCATTTTTCAGAATGTAAAATCCCACCAGACAGATCGGGTTGTTAAAATAGTCTATTTTCATGTGAATAAAAGCCATCCTGCTCCCGTATCTAACTGCAGCAAGGGCACATGGCTGGGGCTTATTAAAAAGCTGGAAAACTGGGCATGTGTCCTGGAAATGGCACGTGCTCCAGCTCCTGGAGTCAGGAAGTCTTGGTGTTTGGGATTCCCCTCAGCTGCAGGCAGGGTGCCAGCCCTCCCCAAAGCTCAAGGAAACTGTCCTGGCTGCAGCATCCCCTGGGATGTGTGTCTGGGCCAGGGCTGCTTCCCCCATTGGGTGTGGGAATGGTCCCAGCTGCCGGTGAGATGGTTTTGGGAGGGTTGTGCTGGCAGCACAGAGCATCGTGGTGGGTACCATCCTGCTGGGGAGGGGGTGCTGCTGACCCTCTCAGCCTCTTGGCTCCCCCAGGGTGGATGTCGTCCACCTCGCCCTCTACAACCTGGGCGTACAGAGCAAGAAGAAGTACTTTGACTTCGAGGAGATCTTGGCCTTTGTGAACCACCACTGGGATCCGCTGCAGCTTGGGAAGGTAAAACCCTGCAGCCTGGGGTGGGGCTGGGGAGGGGGAGG